TCCAAATAAGACCTGGTCAGAAAATCCTGCACCACGGGACATAACAATAGCCCATCTACTCCCGGCAGTGGCCATTGCAGTAACATAAAATCCTTCCCTCCATTTTTTATTAATCCACTTGAAAGGAAATGACTCACTGACTTTATAGGACTGCTGTAAGAATTGTGTCCCTATATGAAGCAATAGAGGTCAAGTTAGATGACTAAATTGGTAAAGCAATCGAGCTATAGAGACACAGATACTTAGACTAACCTTTAGACATTACAACTAATGAGCTTCCATTGCTAGTTCCTGCTATTGCGCTGATATAGTAGTTTTTGTCCCATTGCTCCATAATCCATTCCTTCAAAACAGAAATAAATGGCATGATTGATGTATCTCCTTACACATGCAATCATAATAATCCATGTGGCGTAGTATAAATTATAAAAGAAATAATTTGATCAATAAAAAAAACAATGCTAGTTGCAATAATAGTAGCTAGCTAAATCCAAATATTCGATAGACAACCATTCTAGATTTAATGGAACACAAACCTTATGAAGAAAATAGGGAGAAAGTTCATAAACTTGGGAACTGAAGCCAGTGCCAGCATCCATAATAAGAGCCCAAAGATTTGAACAGGAAGCCACACTGCTAATAAATAACCCGTCCTCATTTCCTTTCTCAATGTGTTGGGAGAGCCTCACATCTGCAACATTATAGTGATATCTACGAGAGATGGAAACATCTACTTAGTTCACTTCTAGGTCAAATTTGAATTACAGAGTCCAGTATGTAACTTTAATGAATGAACCTTTGCTTCATAGGCCTACGAGCATTGTATACACTAATCCATTGTGTTGCAGGCATCCCCATACGAATCTTCTTCTTTGGTTGCTCATCATCCTCCTCCTCCATGGTCAATCTTCCTCTCTTTTGTCCAACCTGACATATAAGCTTTACAATGCAACAAATATAAGTTAGATGATTTCGAAGCCAAGGTCCATAAGTAATGGTACCTAAAAACAGCCCGTATAGATGCAAGAACATTAAAAGTACCTTCTGAGCACCATCAGTATTTATTGGCCTGATATCTGGATTTGGACCAACAATCCCATCAAAAAGGGATATATATTTTGCATAGTTCGGTTCTTCGTCAAACTTCAAATTCACCACATACTCAACAAACTGTCTGAATGGTTGAGGGCAGGAGCAACACAGAGCTTCTGGGGAAGTGGCCATCTTTTTCTTGCAGACAAGGAATCCTTTATTTTCTCCCTAACAAAAATATTGTGTTAGAGTGGCATACACTATTAAATAGAAGCATAAGCCTACTCAAATTCTGGAAATTATGAACCTGATATCCTTGCCATGGCAACCTGCCACGAAGAAGAAATATCAGGGTGTAAGCTAGAGATTCCAAGTCATCTCGCCTGCTTCCAGTTCTACCAAGATGAGCATGCACACTTGCATACCTTACCGTTCCCCTGCAGTACATTAATGATCAGTATACATATCAGTTGGTTTTTGTTTTTTGGTTTAGTTGCAAGGGTAAATCACATTTTATGGTCAAATAATTAACCAGCGTTTATTTCACCTGAAAACATCTGGTCGTTGATCATAGTCAACATGCTGGCCAGTTGAATCTCGCCACCTGGTGGCTGTCAAGTCAAAACAGGAAACAAGATGATAAGGTATTAGGTACACTACTCAGACAAGTAATTTCGGGTGTAAGTGGGATCATATAACTACGACTTACCTAATCCAAGGTCAACAAGAAACAGCTTCTTCTCTTCAAGAGTCCCAGGGGGACCAAGCAAAAAGTTCTCAGGTTTCACATCCCCATGTACATATCTGTCGTGAACACCATCAGAGAAATTGTAAATAACTTGATAAGCAAACCACGGAGAGCAACTCAACATTGCCATTTTATTTCATTTATGGAAAACCAGGTTAACAGGAATTCAACATATTGCTCGTCACTCATCTACATATACCATACTAAACAGACATCCATCACGCACTAAAATGAGGCATTGATATAGGAAAGAAGTATCAGGATGTTGTGGCACTGACACAGCCCACATGGCACAATTACAGGGATTAGAATATGAAGATTTGAATTAAATCAAATAACTCTCTGACCAATGGAATTCTATCTTCACGAAAAACAAGTGAACTATATTTGCAATGACCTCAACGTAACTACTAATTATATTGAAAAGAGAAAAACTAATCATCAGAAAATTTGAAATAAAATTATCACCCTCTAGAGTGCATCTTCTCCAATATGGATATTGCCTCAATGGCAATACACGCAACCATTTCAATTGACATCCTGAAATTGAAAAGGTAGAAGTGAGTGTTAGAGCAGCAGACCGCGATATAAGTGTTGCAAGAAGAAAATGAAAATACCTTTCTTATTTTTTGTATAAAGATGGGAGAAACTTACGTGTGTGAGCTGTTATTCCAGACATCCCACAAGCTAGGTCCAAGCATATCCATCACCTGTACACAAAATAGGGCTGATTCCATAAATTCTCAAACTTGGCTAATTAGAAACTACAATTAGAATGAAATTTGCGCAAACAACTCATACCATGATGTAGTAGTCGGCTTGACGGCCCTTATAATGAACTCGTGGCACCCCATGACTACCACCGAGTGCACTGTACAGACATAAGATTAAGTAAGAGTCACAATATAAGACTGGGAAGGTGAGAATGTGATTTGTATAGAACGAACACACTACAAGGGAAGATAGGAGCATCTTACTTGTAAATTTGCCATTCGTAAGGTGGGCCATAGTTACATCCTTTGCTGCTTCTATGCTCAAATTTCAACGCAACCTAAAATTTAGATCAAACAGCTATGTTAACAATACAAATCCAACATAACGTCTTTTTTTTTTTCAAAAACAAATTATACAATGATGTTATGCCATGAAGAAGATGATTGCACACCTCAACAGCTCCAGGGCCAGCCCCCATGCGTCGACCTACATACACTTGTCCAAAGCCTCCTTTCCCCAATTTCTTTTCTATTTTGTATACTGGGGAACCACCAACCTGGACCTGTTGTCAATAAATCGAAGAATGAATATAAAACAATTAGCAAAAAACCATGATATGCTATAATGCTAAATAGTTCGCTGTGCAAACACAATGTTAAGAAAGAAACTGCACGTTGTTGCCACGCCCCCACTCACAAAGAGTTCACTGCCCAAATCGACATATTAAGACTAATAAACAAAAAATTATATTTTGAATTTTGAATTTTGAATTTTTCTTCCACTTCTCAGTTCAAAAAATGGCAATGAGAAAAAAATACACAAAATTTTATATCTTCCCTTCATTTTCTCAGCTTACTCATTATCCAAACGTAAACTAACAGGAAAATATAGAAAGCGAAAAAGTGAAATGCAATGAAAGGCAGTGAAAGAGAGACTGACCTTCTCGGGAATAGGAGCTGAGCCCTCATCCTCAGCTCCGGGACCTTTATCGGCACTGCGGCCACCGCTATCGTACTCATCCATGGCTCCCTCACCACCAGCCTGTTCTTCGTCTAACTTAAACGACCTCGTTTCAAAGACCGGACCAGCCTTGGCCCTCCTCCTCTTGCCGACACCAACTGCCTTCTTTTCCTTATTCTTCTTCTGATTATTATTGTTATTCTCTGTGCGGTCCTACTCTTCCGTACAGTTAGCTTCTGATGTGGTTGAGGCTGAGGCTGAGGCTGAGGCTGGGTGATCGGGTTCGGGTTCTGGTTCAGAATCGGGTCGGGGTTTTTGGGTGCCCGGGTTCTGCGTGGTCTGCTACGCAGCTCAGGCATGGTAAGGGTGGCGGTGGTCCATGAAGAGAGCAGCGAAACGCGCCTTATCGGGAAGGTTCATGGAAGTTTCTAGAACCATCCGCGCAGAGAAAATGGATCAGTGTGAATTGTTGAGAGAGAGTGTGGGACGATGAATTTAGGGTTGGAGAGAGGGAATTTGGAGATCTGTGGAGGGAAACGAAATGGAAAGAAGAAGGGGATTCTAGATTCTCTACAGCGGAGGAGCGAAAGAGAAAATAAACAGATAGAGAGAGAGAGAGAGAGAGGGGCAAAATAGAAAAGAAGCTTTTCCGGCTCCTATTTTGTAAATTTCTTTATATATATGTTTTAGGAACGTAAAGTATACTTAAAATTTTGTAAACTGTTTTTTCTTATTTGGATAAGAAATTATACGATTTATTATTCATTGGGGGTTTTAAGATAAAGGAGAAAATATATAATTTAAAATGTGGGGTCGTGTGGCAAAAAATAACTTCAATGTGGGGAAATTTACAATATAAAATTTGGAAAGGCTCACAGTGCTCCACTTTAGAGCACTTCCAGCGATTCGAACTACCGGGGCAGGAGGGGGCCCAAGCTCTAGGCGCGAGTTCCAGCGGGCCTCAGTTGCCGGGGCAATTGGTGGGTCCCATGTAACTGGGCAGGCCCAAAGGGAAAACGAGCCCGAGCTCATGCCTGGGCTAGCAAAGTAAAAAAAAAATTAAAAAATAAAAAAAGAAATCTGAAAAATTCCAGAAAATTCAGAAACATTTTTTTATACATACCTAGCAATTTTTTTATAAACTCAAATTATTTTTTATTTGTTGTAGCAAAAACTAAAGATTTATTGACTAAAATAATCAAACCCATGAAAATAAATTGACCCTTTTAGTTCTATGCATTAGTATTAATTAATGAATAGCTAACATCAGCATTTTACATCAACACACTCTAACGAATTATGTTTGCAACTTTGTTTTTTCATTTATAATGTCGCGGGGATTCGAACCACTAGTATTATAGATATAGAAGAAGCATACATCCATTCAAATATCAAACTAAAAGAAATAAAGCCCACTTTTCTATGAAGCCCATCAGTGATTCAGGGACCCAAGAGGAAAACTCCTTTCACAAGTAACGAGCTCATGCCTCGTCCTCAACACTCCAATTGCATTCAAGTGTATTTCTTAGGGTTTTGAAAAACTCAATACAAGAAAAACCAAGGAAGATGAGCAAATCCCTGAAAAGAAAGCGCAACAGGTTGGAGGTATGTGATGTGAGTGTCTTCTAATTAACTTGACTTGGAAATTCCAACGGTTCCATATTGAACGTTGCTGCCGCACATATTTATTCTTCTTTTTTACTGATATATATTCTTGTTTATTATGTAGGTTGAATCCAAAGATGCAAAACGCAGGAAAGCTTTACAATTCCCAAAAGCTGGATTTAACAAGAATAATGGCGACTGTGCTTGTAGTGATCAAACTGAGCCTGGTCATCAGATAGAAAAAACTCAATCAAAGCATGATTTGGATGAGATTCATGAGGTGTGCAATCAATTATAGTTGAAGAATATGATTTGTGAACCAATATTGTGAATTCTAGCTACGAAGTTTTTTTGTTTTTGTTTTTGGGTTTTGTAAAGTGTATGCCATGAAATCTGAAACTGTTTATATGCATATATTTGTTCTTCTGACAGGACAAAGTAAAAGAGAGTCCAAAAGTAAATTCCAGCAGCAGAGCAAGTGAATTATCAGAATTTCCTGCAGCAAGGCCTCCAATTGCACCAACTATAGTCCATGTATCAAGGCCTGATGAAGTTGAAGAAACAAGGAAGGATCTTCCAATAGTAATGATGGAGCAGGAGATCATGGAGGCCATTAATGAAAATTCCACTGTGATTATACGTGGAGAGACTGGATGTGGTAAAACAACCCAAGTTCCTCAGGTGGGTTTGTTGGCATTCTGGTTCTAAGGCATGTTTAGAAGTGATTGTGGAAGAATTAAAAGCGTTTTTTGACAATCAAAAGCATTCTGACTGCTTATTAATATTATTAGTTTATATGCTTGATTTTCCTAGTAATGATTGTTTTTATATGTTCAATTTTTTTGAAGTCATCTTGAACGTTCTAAATTCTGCATTTGGGTTGACATGTTGCAGTTTCTTTTTGAAGCGGGCTATGGTTCAAGCCACTCTAATTCTGCACGAAGTGGTATTATTGGTGTAACTCAACCCCGCCGTGTAGCAGCCTATGCGACGGCTGAGCGAGTGGCGTATGAGCTTGGACTGAATTTAGGTAAAGAGGTCGGCTTTCAAGTTAGGCATGACAAAAGGATGAGTAAAAGTAGTTGCTCCATCAAATTCATGACAGACGGAATATTACTACAAGAACTCAAGGTACTTTAAGTAAATGATATATTTTTAATATCCATGTCATGTTTTGAACATTTATAAGCATCAAATAACCAACTTCCTGCTTTTAGTATGCTTCCTCTGGTAATGAAACCCTTATGGCGTATGCGTAATTAAACTGAGTCATCTTTGTGTAATGTAGTTTTTTTTAAATTGTGCAGAGTGATTTTTTGTTGAAGCAATACTCTGTCATAATTCTTGATGAAGTTCATGTGCGGAGCTCGAACACCGACATACTTATCGGAATGCTTTCACGTGTTATTGTACAGCGTCAGGTGAGCTAGAGAGCAGTGCTTATGGCTAAAAGTTATATTAATCACGGTTAATTTCTCATAATCTTTTGTATGTGATGGCAGAAAGAATACGAAAACCAGCAAAAGGCGGTGCTTTTGGGAAAAAACATAAGTCGTGAACAACAGATTTTCCCTTTAAAGCTTGTGCTGATGAGTGCCACCTTGCGAGAAGACTTTATCAGAAAACTGTTTGGTGAGCCCCCGATCATAGAAGTTCCCACTAGACAATTTTCAGTAAAAGCTTACTACGAAAACAGAACTGAGGAAGAAGGGGATTATGTTGAGAAAGCATGTAAAAAAGTCTTGAAGATTCACAAGAGACTACCACATGGAGGCATACTTGTGTTTGTCACTGGGAAGCGAGAAGTACAGCGCTTGTGTCAAAAGCTACAAGGAGCTTCAAGGGAACTTATGAAAAGATCAGTTGAGAGTGATGCTGATGAAGTTTCTGATATTGATTCTGTTGAGGATGAGTTGGAGGGTTATTCATATGATTCAGAAACAGAAAGTGAACGAGAATTTTTTCACGATGACGATAGGGATTCATTGTGCCAAGATACCCCAAGATTAGTTGATGGAAATGTGACAGAGGTTGCAGGAGAGGATGGTAGCATTGTATCACCTAAAGCCGGTTTCGATTCTTGGGCTAGAAAATCTTCATTGTTCTGTAATTCAGCTGGGAAAAAGGGTAGTTTTCCAGGCGCACTGCATGTTGTCCCTCTTTATGCCAGGCTGAATGCAGAAGCTCAACTTACAGAAATAGAAAAAGTGAAGGAGGGAGAACGGCTTGTTGTTGTAGCCACAAATGTGGCTGAAACCTCTTTAACTATAAGCGGGATAAAGTATGTTGTTGATACTGGGAAAGAGAAAGTGAAGGACTACAATTCAAATGGCATGGAAACATATAAAATACAGTGGATTAGCAAGGCATCAGCTGATCAGCGTAAAGGAAGAGCTGGAAGAACAGGGCCTGGCCATTGTTACCGCCTGTATTCTCAAGCAGTGTATTATAACAAATTCCCTGATTTTTCCGCACCTGAAATATCCGAAGTCCCCTTTGATGGTGTTGCCCTTCTTCTCAAGTCTATGAATATTCTTAAGGTGGGTCCAAATTCATATTCTTTTGTTCAGCATTTTAGATCCTTTTTTTTTTATTTTTTTAAATTTTATGCAAGCAATAGTAAGGAGCAAAGATTCGAACACAGGATCTCAGGTGCAGGGGTAACTAACTGCACAAAGATTTTGATGGTTCTTACTACATAGCAGGGGTTCTTAGCCAGTGATTGTTATATGTTTTAGTTTGCTACCATTGGGTTATTTGCTTTTTTATGTTCCACAATAACATGCCTTGTGTTTTCTCTTTTACATCTGGGTTGCTCTTATAACGTATGACCTTCTTCTTCTGTGCATCCCAGATATCCAATTTTCCATTTCCAACTCCTCCAGAGGCTAGTGCTGTGGATGAAGCAGAGCGTCTCTTGACGGCCCTTGAAGCAAGTGACACAAATGGAAGATTAACACCTTTAGGGCATTCCATGGCTTGTTATCCCCTGCGTCCTCGCCACTCTCGGATGCTCCTTACGATTTTTCAAATCATGAGTAAACAGAAAAATCGTGCTCGAGCTAATTTGGTGTTAGCATATGCAGTTGCAGCAGTTGCATCTTTGAGTTGTTCAAATCCTTTTCTCAGGCAGTTTGAAGATATTCACACTACAAACCATGACAATGTTTGCAGCGATGCGCCTTTGGAGCATTCAAATCAAGAGAAGTTGACAAAGAAGAAACTAAAAGAAACTCTAAAAGTGCCTCGTGAAAGGTTTTTCAATCCCAGCAGTGATGCTCTGTCCAGAGCTTATGCTTTGCAGTGCTATGAAATATCCAAGAGGCCAGTGGAATTCTGCAATGACAATGCTCTGCACCCGAAAACCATGGAGGAAATATCCAAGCTGAGAAAGCAGCTCCTCGAACGTGTCTTTGAACAAAGTGGCTTTTCTGGTGGGGAGAAGGAATTTTCATGGATCTATGGTAGCATGGAAGATGTAGAACGTGATTGGAGGGTTTCCTATGATAAGAACCCTCTTTCCTTGTATGAGGAAGAGCTCTTGGGCCAAGCCATCTGTGCTGGTTGGGCAGATAGGGTTGCTAAGCGCATTAGAGGAAGGAGTTCATCAGTGTCATCTGATTTAGGAGATCGAAAAGTTCGTGCTGTTCGATATCAAGCCTGCATGGTTAAAGAGACTGTGTTCCTCGACCCTTGGTCATCTGTTTCTAATTCAGCCCCTGAATTTCTGGTGTACAATGAGCTAATCCAGACAAGATCAGGACCGTACATGTATGGCGTTACTCGTATAAAATCAGAATGGCTTGTTGAGCATGCCCGGGCTTTATGCACTTTCTCTGCACCCCCAACAGATACCAAACCTTACTACGAGCCTCTAACTGATCAAATATTTCGTTATGTCATTCCAGCCTTCGGTTCTCATTTGTGGGAGCTTCCACCATTTGGTTTGCCAATGAATAAATTTGATCAGTTTCGAGATCGAGTGAAAGCTTTTGCTTATGCTTTGCTTCAAGGCCAGGTTTTGCCTTGCTTAAAAGTTGTTCGTAAGTGTATGGCAGAACCTCCTGGTAATGTTTTAAAGCCGGAGGCAGCTGGTCGACGGAGGGTTGGGAATCTTTTAGAGAAGCTGATGAGAAACAAGATTCATAACTGCGCTGCGTTAAGACAGGTTTGGAAGGAGAATCGCATGGAGTTGCATCCAGAATTCCTGGCCTGGTTTAATAAGAGTTTCCAAACTAGCAGCTTTGAAGCCCTTTGGTCACTCATGCTTCGTGAAGTTCTTTAGAGTGATTTCAAGTGAAACAACTAATGGCTGGTCTGGAAGTTGCTAGTTGGACAACATATTCTATTTATTGTGCCTTTCAGTATATCTAAACATATACATGACTGGGACGGGGTTTAGATTATCAGTGTCTGCTATAAATTTATAGGGTTTTAAGGATTCAATAAACTATTTAGTTACATATGTATTACTGGATAGCATTATTTCGGTTTATTAATGAGAGAGAAAGATTCGAAATTGTAACCTTGCTAGTTTTTTTATCAGATTTTTGAATGGTGCATATATCCACAATTTAAGCAATCAGACGAATCTCTTTCGATTAGTCCTCGGGGTAAGTATATTGAGTGCTTTGTAGAACAAACGAATAGCGTTAGCTCAACCCTGATCCCAGAGAAGGAAGCAGCGATTTCAGAATAGTAGATAGATCTCCATGTATCAATACTTGGGATTTCTTAAAACAAGGAATACAACCAATATAAGAACAGTGTGGGTTTCTATATTGCCACTAGAATTTCTATTGATTTTGAAGACCCATTTGCATACTATAGGCTACGTACACTCCTTCATTGATGCTTTCTTGATCAAAGCTCATAGGTTCATCTTCATTCTAATGTCATTCAATCTCCTGCACATACACATTCATCAGAAATTGATGGCTTTCTAACTCTTGGGGACTATCTTCTGGTAATTTCGATGACAGGTTGAACATCAGCATGAGGATCTTGAGGCTCTTCGTGAGAGATTGACTGCTCATTATTGACTTTTGTGGTGGAGAAGGTTGGACATGTTGCTGTAGGGATACTTCATCTTCATTCTCGTTGATTAGCCTTGGAGGTAACTTGAACTGCTCATTACTTACTTGGTGGTACTGCCACAAATTCATCTTCTTCAAACTCAAAATTGGTATTAGTATTATGAGTCTATATACTATCTTTCTGTGCAATTGTATTGTGGGCAATAAAATAATATATAACCTTTAAAATTTTCAGGAAATCTATTAAAATGACCAACTCACAATCCTTGGATTAAGCTTCTCTTTAGTTTCAGGGTTACAACCCCAAACATGAAATGTAACAAACTAGGCTTCATACCTTTCGATTGTTCAAATGGCGTCTTAGGAACAGACTTACTTGGTACACGGTGCATGGTTATCTTCAATACTTTTTCCCACAAGAATTTTGGGTCGTCATCATGCTCCTCACCATTTCCTTCAACATTTTGTTTCGTCTCTCTACTACTCCATTTTGATGAGGAGTACCAGCAGTGGTGTATTGTGCAAGAATCCCACATGTTTATGCCAAAAAATAAAATAATTTTCATTAATAAGCAATCTTTTATTAGAGATAGAACTATCAACATGCATACATTGGACAGAAGTAGAACATGCTCTAATAAGCAATCTTCATTAATCTCCATGCACTTATAATTCCCATTGTGCAGAAAGTACAACATGCTCTAACCTTGCTTTATTGCAGAACAACTAATTCATAAAAACACTAATTTATGAATTCTACACCTTTGGACAGAAGAAAACACACTTAACATATATATCTTACGTACAATTTTTGGCTTCTATATCTTCGAATTAAGAACATTGTTGAAGCAATTCACTTTAGCAATTGGATTCAGTGAGTCTTTCAAGTTCTTCGATGCAGTGATACCAAGAACAGAATCTGGTCATAGAGAGAATCTGCTAATTGAAAACAAAGGTTTTTTTTTATAGGTCAAGACTGAAACTTCATTCCAAGGCCGGAAAATCGGAAAAATGGCTTACAATGAAGGAAAGAAAGCAAAACTGAAAGCCTTTCAACTGAATCCATACAACCCAGCAAAGAAAAACTTTCAACCCAAAACAAAAGGAAACTTAAGGAGGACATGGGAGTCAAAGTTTCGTTTTTCAAGAATTGAAGAATTGAGTTTTCGATTGGAACAGAATGAAACCCTACGATTCCTTCAGGCAATGTACTGACCCTTTTTCGTTTTTCTTAAGCTGAAGCGTGAAGTGATTCAGGTTTTGATTTAATTATTTGGTAGTGTCGTTTTGCCCTTACTGGTTACTTTCTCATTGTATCGTTTCTTAAGCTGCACAAACCTAAACACTCTATCTAGACCATATCAAGCCTACCCCAGTGAGACTTATAAAATAAACTAAGCCCAGCAAAAAATTTCCTAACGCAACATTCTCAAAACAATATGAACTACGCACTGCAGGGCCCTCTGGTAATTATTTGAACTGAGGACATATGACACAACTACTTTTCTAGTTTCGTCTCATTAAACAACCTTCATCGTGTTTGCATGCTTTTGGTAGCTTGAGGGGTAATCGCAACACAATAATCTGATTACCAGAAGAGAGAAGGAATAATGAAAGCAAGGGCACAGATGAGATGAGATGAACTTAAAATGAAGAATTTCCGAATCTGGTTACTCCTAGCCCTAAGGTTGTGTAAAACTTAACCTAAAATAAAATCGAGCAGAACCAAATGAACACATTCCAGAAAAGGAAGCTGAAAAATTGGGCGTGCGAGAGTATGCATCTATGTACCATACTCAATTTTATATGTATTGAGTTAATAGTTTTGAGCTTGTTACCGATAAAGCTAAAAGCACAAGGAAAATTAATAGCACCACAAAAGCCAGCCTACACGTAAACCATTCATCAGACAAAAAAGTCATTAACAACCTAACAACGCGCATAATGTCTGAGAGGCATCCATCATTTTCCAAAATGAGCAGAGGTTCTCAGTAAAAACATCTCTTGATTCGCAAGTTTTAGTTCAGAAAACACAAATTTCCAAGACTAGATTATGTTGTTACTATGCAGCATTAGCAATGTTAAAACTCTGATCCTTGTGGTCCTCCAACACCTAACAAAAAGCTTTTATTTCCAAGATACACGGTTAGTTCTGAAAACAAAACTTAACAAATTTGAAGCATAATTTAAAAGGAGGAAAACGACATACCGTGTATCAATCAGGGTCAGCATACTTTGTCTTCTTTGCCTTCTTTGCCTTCTTTGACTTCTTTGACTTCTTTGCCTTCTTTCCCTTCTTTGACTTCTTTGCCTTCTTTGCCATAGGATGTACCACCTAAATTTTCAAGAGAGCAATACATGAACCCAACAAAACCACGATAGAATATACGTAACGAGAAAAAGAGATGACGACAACATTTTCCAGTTGCATGAACAATGTGTCCAAGAGCACAAGTCCAAAATGCCGTACATAAATTGGGGGAGTGAACAATTAAAGTTGGCACTGTGTTGTCGACAACATAAGACAAAACATGCATTGCTACTGATACAACTTTTAACAGTGAATTGAAAATTTTAAGTTGCTAAACAGATTTGGGAAGATAAGAAAACCTCAGGATTATTCTCCAGCCCAAGACTCTTCTGTAAATCATCCAGCATTTCAATCCAGCGGCTAAAATATGAAAGAAAGAGTGGTATTTAGGGGAAAAATCCATGAGACATAAAGAACCTCAGTGGAAGTAAGAAAACTGCATTACTGTCAACAATAGTCAGAACAGATTGTTGTGAAAAAGCCTCAAACAACACCTCCAGCAGAATATTGTAAGATGAGTTAGCACTTCTATAAAATAAAATAAAAATTCTTTAAATAGTGATGTCGCACGGGAAAAAACAAAGAAGGGAGAGAATTGGGAACCTGTCAACGTCTGCCTTCCCCTTAATTGAACAAATATAGTTGTTGAAATCAGACAGTTTCTTCCGACATTTAATAGATTCGTAGCGTGCCAGACTGGAACGCATATCTTCCAAATGACCAAGCAAGTCACTTCAAACAAGGAACAAAAATGTGTGCTCTTCTTAGTCAAGAACAGGAAACCAAAAGGCAAATCCGCAAGGCTAACAAAAACCAACTCAGTAAAAAGAATGAGTGTCAGCAGCTTTCTCATAGATGATATAGATAAGAGACCAAAGAAATAAGGTCGGTCTCTTAGTAAAAAATCAGAAATGAAAAGGCAAACTCACATGTACAAACAGAAACAAACAAACAAACAAAAAAGGCAAACAAACCACCTACAGTAAGAGTAGTGTCGGACCTCTAACACAACTGATTTTATGTAATGAGCAGAGATTAGAGTCAAAAAAAGAAAGAAGGAAGAGAATGAGGAACCTGCAGGCAGGTGGGATGGTACCGAAGGTCTTCAATCTACCGATAGCATCAACGATAACAGATTTTTGCGCATCAAGTTTCTCAGCTTCCTCGCAACAAATGTCACTATCCAATTCATCTGATTCATGATATGGAAGCAATAAAAAGTTAAGAGCTAAATGGTTTGAATGCACATACAAGTAAACCAAAATCTAGATCAGCGACCCCCACCAGAGCAATCATTGAAGGATGTAACAGGAGGAGTGAGCATTGCATTCTTGTAAGTAATAGGTGTTTCAGAAAACACAGCCTTGAACAATATCGAGAAGAGTTCAATTACTTACAGATAATAATTGGATTAAGGGATAAAAGCATTTTGACATTCTACAAAGTCAAAAGGAAAATGTGATAAGAAACCAACAAGCAGGTTTGGTTAATACTTGCTGTTATCTCCATATTACATCATAGAGAATCTCATCGTCATAATTGGATAACAAGAAATTGTAAAAACACATGACCCGCACTAAAGATTCAGCAATCAGTTCCACATGCAAGAAGCTGATTGATCCAATGTATGGACTGACACTGAAGGCACAGATTCATACTCTAAAAGTTTTAAAAGGTCAAGAATACACATAGTTATGTATGGGAAATTTCCGTGGACAAGAATGCACATGCTCCAGAACACGTATTGCACAACTATCCATATTTCAAGAAATTAAAACCTAAATCAAGCTTGCTTTGCGTGTACAGATTTGTTAAAGAACACCACAAGAGAATATACATAAACAAACAGAAACAGAGATGATGATGACAACATTTGTATGCAAGTACAACGATATTCCACGAACTATGTGCCCCAGAGCACAAGTCCAAAATGTCCTATATAAATTGGGAGCATGAACAATTATAGTTGGGACTGTCAATAATATAAGACGAAACATGGAGTGCTACAAATATAACATTTAGCAGTTAACCACGGTAGATACAGCAACTCCAGATATTCACCTAAGTGAATCTACTAGACACCAAAGGAGATACTCAAACAGATTTTTGAGAGAGAGAATACCTGAGAGGAAAACTCAAGTCCAAGACTTCTCTTCAATTCAACATAATATTCAGGCCAACCGCTGAAATATGCAAGAAAGAGTGGTGCTCAGGGGAAAAACAACGCATCAAAAACTAAAATGCAAACAAATCTAATACTAGACAACTGTTAGAGATCTAAAACGATGGATTTCATGTACTTGGCATAGATTAGAGGTCATAGCATGAAGGCCAACCTCTTAGTAAAACATCAGAAACAAAATTGCAAACCCACAAATACAAACAAAAAACAAAGAGAAATAATGTGCTCTTGGTCAAGAATCGAAAACCAAAAGGCAAACCCACAAAACAGACTAACAAAAACATGGAAAGCAAACCAACTCAGACGAGGGTCAGAGTTATTAAACAATGTCGACCACTTAGTTAGCATAGATTAGGGGCCAAAGAGCTAAGCCCATCCTCTTAGTCAAATCAGAACACCCACTAATATGGGACGACTGTCAGAGATTCAGAGCTATAAAACAAAGTCTTTCACGTAATAAGCACGGGCAACAACAACAGCAACAACAACAACGACAAAAAAATAGGAAAGAAGGGAGATAATGAGGAACCTGTCATCGGCTGCCATCGACCTAAGTTTATCAATATACTTCTCCAGATCCATAAGGTCCAATTCCAAAAACCCTTTGTTTTCTTGGAGAATGTTTTGAATGTGATCCAATTTGCCAACAAAGACGCTTTAACAAAAACATGTGCCCTTAGTCAAGAACCGCAAAGTGAAAGGCAACAAACACAGAAGACAAGATCAAGAAAAGGAAACGGACTCACTACTAAGACGAGCACAGATTAGAGGCAAAACAGAAACAATGAGAGAATGAGGAACCTGGCAGCCGGAAAGAACTTCTTCTGTGAATTAATAACGTCGATGATATGTGATTTTTTCTCTTTCCAAATTCTCGCAGCTTCCTCGTTAGAGATATATTGTTCTTTCTTCACAGGTCTTTTTCCTACATAAAGATGTTGCAAATCAAATAAGCAAAAGTTTTACGAAACTCGATTCCTAGTAATCAAAAATTAATTAGCATACTTTTAGCTGATCTCCCCTGATCTGAAAAAAGAACAGTTCGCAAGTCATCTTCGAAATCATCAGCATCAGAATCTGTGAAGACGGCCATGTCAGAGTCTAAAATAAAACTTTTTGAAAAAAAAAAAAACAAGAAAAAGGAAATATATAATTATTATTTTTTAAAGTGAGAAGCATTTACGACTTGCCAGTGTCAGAGTTCGTGAAGACGCCGCCACCAGAATCATCAACAGAGCACAGTCAAGGAGACAACAAATAATTCAATAATCAAAGCATATCTCATGAGAATTAATAGCATGAAAGACACCAAATTCAAAATGAAAGGCAATATCATAAAGGATATAACCTAGTAGCTTCACACTTGTGTCCAGTAAAGCGGATGCTCCCATATTTCCAGTTATGCGAAAGCTCAATTTTATAAGCTATTTCAATCTCATCAAAATTATAAGGTTTCTCAAATGATTCAGGAGGAATAGTTTTCAAAACATTAGTCTCATCTAATTCCCCATCGGTAATTGTGAAATAGAGTTCAATAGGATCACTTCCCTTCGCTTTTTTGACATCGTCCAGATGAGCCTGCATTGTAAAAGAAAGTTTTACACCATGCTGGAACTATCAAAAAGACAAAAGAAACAGAGAAAAGCAATTAAACAGCTTCCCCCATTACCTCTGTAAGATACAGGATCTCCCAAGTTCCAGCCTCAACAACGACAGAGTCTCCACTTTTTACCTTAACACCTGAACATTGAGTCACATTTAAGTAATCAATTTACGATTCCAAAACTGACACTGCCAGAAAATAAAAGAACAAAATGTTTGTGCAAATTTTTGTTCACATTTGTAGAATGGAAAATAGGCATGAAGTGGTGAAAACAGTAAGAATGAGTGCCAAACATACAGAAGACGAAACAGCAACAGGCCCTTTTCGCTCTCAAATATAGAAAGGGGAGTACCTAAGTTTGTAACGGGTCAACAAAAACAAAAGACAACAAGATTGCTTGGATCACACTGACCTAAAACACATCCTATTGCATAACTCGGGAGTCTAAACAGACAGCAAAAAATTTCTCCATGAGCACAGTGCATTGGAACTTGCATTACCAGTTGCGAAGGTTCATTGAACAAACAAAAGATTTTGCAGCTCAGAAATCAGAAGCAAGTTTATACGTGTAAATTTGGTTGTAAGGCAGAAACTCAATACGTGCCAAATAAAGCAAGCGAAATATTTTTACAGAAACCAAAACAATAATACATGTGAAAATGAGGGAGATGCACAACGTTCTCAGACTTTAGTTTTTCTTTCAACAGAAATTCGGAAAACAGAGGGGAGAAAAACTTAATTATGTCCACATGAAGCATTTTTAGCAGAACATTTAAAAAGAAAAAAGAAATTAAAATTCAAAAGCCAAGCGCTACGTGTTAAGAGATATCAAAGGGAGAGATCGAAAGCGATCGAAGGGAGAGATCCTAGAGCGATCGAATAGCGACCGACGGGAGAGAGATCGTAGAGCGGACGAATTGATATCGAAGAGCGACATAATAAAGAGATGGAAAATCGAATTAATAGATATATTGAAAAGCGAACTAACAGAGAGAGATCGAAGAGCAATCGAAAAGCGAACGAACAGAGCGATCAAAAAGCGAACGAACAGAGCGATCCGAAGGCGAACGAACAGAGCGATCCAAAAGCGAACGAACAGATTAGTATATCTGGTTTCTGTGATATATTTAAGCGATGGAATGAAAACCAAGCCAGATATTGATCTCATTTTCTCGAGTTTTCTCAGAAACCAAACAGCTAAGAACTGTAAGAAATAAAGAAGCATAACACTACTGTAGCAACGAAACGATTACCCCAAGGTTCACGTGGCTCACGATTCTCCATCGTCGAATTGCAGAGGTTCTTACGCGGAGCTTGTACGGTTTCACAGAGCTTATTCTTTTCGATTTCTTTTCAGAGTGTGATTGGAACTGACCGTTGGCTGACGCTCTGGCATTCGTTTTCGTTTTAAATACCTCTCCACGAAAGCGCGCGCGTTTTCAAATTTTTTTCTTGCATTTTCTCTTTTCCTCGTGGATTTTAAAATTGTAAATTCTAGTCCGTAATTTAACCTAATAATAAAAATAAAAAGGCTTAAAGTTTCACGAGGCCTTAACCCAATAAAGGCCCATAACAAATAAATACACTCAGTTTTATTTTATTTTTTATAAATAATTATTTCAGTGATTTTGGGGAGGGGAGTGGGGAGTCGAATGACTTATTTTTATTTTTCAGAAATTTTCTTATTGGTCTACTTAAATTCTGGATCACACAATAACCTTGCCTTCTGAATATTAGGTACCCAAAAAATTATTTTATTTTCCATTCCTTCTTCCCCTCTATATGATATAATGATTAGATGCAAATTTTGATTCTTTCTTTTCTAATGGCAACCGGCCACCTAATTCTTCTTTTTCATATCCAAGAAAGCTATTAATGGGAAGCCTTGTGGATAATTCTCCATGTGTTAGCTTAACTTAACGAATCAATGTTATGATGACACGTTAAAGGGTTAAATGGTAACTTTACTATAACATGAAAGAAAGGTCTTGCATTAGGGTGGTTAAATCCCAACTGTACAATAACATGAAAGAAAGCATGCATGGGTTGTAATTACTTTCACTAAATACACTCACAAGCTACACATCGTTACAATCTAATAAAGCAGTTTAAGATCAGTGGGTGGAATCTACGGCCATCCATTTTTGCAACATTAACTCCCTATAAAACTTGTCAATAAATTCCTGTGCTGCCTTGTCCACATGATAATCCTCCTCCTCCTCCTCATCAATATTCAACGGGAACAACGGCTCCCACTCCGTTATCCTTACCCGCCTCACCATCGGCAGTGGTTCCACCACATCACTGCCGCGAAAGCTCACTTTCCTGCCGGTGTTAACCGTCGCCAATACGTTCTCACACATCATCGGCACGTAAACGCTCCGCCGCGAACGCTGCCTAACGTAACGTCCCTTATTGTGCCCGCTGTCGTGGCAGGGAGGAGTGTAGGTTGATCTGTAGGGTGGGATGCTGCTTTTGCAGCTGAACTCGTACTCGAGGGGGTACACGAACGACACGTGCACGTCATGTGACTTGCAGCTGAGCGCCGTGTGGTGGCGGACCATGAAATCATTGAAGTACTTACCTAAGATCTTCCCATGCTCCTTCATCATCATCAGCTTCTTTTTGGACACGCCCTTTTGTAATGTGAACAAAATCAGACGTACCATGTTGCTCAGTTTCTTGGCTATGATTGGTGTAGCAGGAGGAGGCTCCATTTTCTTGGGCTAGGAGATTAATAGAACTCAGAGGCTAGAAAAAACTTAGAGACAGAGATGGGTTCTATGAGTGAGAGAAGAAATGATGAAGGTAGGAATATATTTAAAGAGCCAAACGGGGAAGAATGGGGCCATAAATTTCTATATTTTATTTGTTCTACTATTTTTTTGTTTTCTTTTTGTGACTAAAGTCTGAATAATGTATTTTTATAATTAATGTTGATAAGTGTAACATACTATGCGTAATGATTGCTTTTTGTTTTGTGCAGCTCTTTCTCTTTTCTTTTTTGTTAATGGGTTTTTTCTGCTTTGTTAATTTGCATACGTTGTCCCTACAAACTAGTGCGTTTCAACTTTTTAATTAAGTTTTAATGCCTCAAAATAACTGACATCCATCTAATTGGCCCCATTTATATCAATCTTGTACGCCCTCTAGATCCACCTTAGCCGTTCATATAGTTTTGAATCAAAGTTTTGCTTTAAGCTACGGTTACAAATTTTTTTTTTAATACAAGAGATGATCTACTTTAAACTACAGGAGGGGGATTCGAATTTGGGTGCAAAGTGGGGAGCATGTTCGTTCTAGGGTTCTAGCGAACTTGACTAAGCTCATGTCTACACGATTATAATATTATATTATAAGGAAGTGAAATAAGTCAATAAACCGAAAAGAAAAAAGGGAAAAAAGATAGTTCTATTAATAATGGACTAATTATAGTGGGGGGATAAAGGAGTAGAAAGTGAAAAATGAATGGCAAAACTTTAGTTAGGTGTAAGCCTGCCCTTTAGCCCTACATTATCCCGTACTTTGAAATATAAAATCCAAAATGTTGAGGCAAATCAAAATACTTTGGACTATTTTATTCAAGTGTTGGATTTGATCATGATGAAATCTAGCAAGTAGGATCCAATGTTTTTTACTTGTTTAATCACCGGTGGACCTAAAGCCGAACTAGTTTGGAATTTTATTCATCTTTGACGGGTTCAGGAGGCGAAGTGGCAAACAAAAATTTTGGAAGTTTTTGGTGGTTACACAATTTATTCATCTCTTTATAACAAGGGACCATCTTTGTATTCAATTACCCTAATTGTGTTAGGTTGGCAATGGCAGTCGAATTGGTATTTTTTGTTAGGTGGAATTTTTATTTGAAATTAATTATTTTTTAACTAGTTATGTATCAACCTCTCCATCAGAAAATAACTTAGATGCCGACTGGTCAGCAGCTGAAACAAAGAAAGAAGAACGTCATCCAAATGAGTTACAAATTGGGAAGTTCAAAGATGATCCAAACTTCTGTTTATGATTATTTGATTTTGAAGAATCGTATTCTTTTAGGTTTTTGTTCTTATTTTATATATTCAAGCATTTGAGTCAGTGATGACAACAAAAGATTCGAACTTGTTGTTTTAAAATGGAAGAGATAAAGAAAAGGCTTGCCTATTCAAATAATGGGACAAAGCTACTTTGATATTCTCTTTCTTGTTTTATTGGAGTTTCTTCATTTAATTAATATAGAATAACATGTGTGTTGTGGAATTTAAACTAAAGCTAAGCCAACGGCCCAATTGAAAAAATACTTTCACTTGTAGACCCATGATCTCACATCCCAAATTTTAATGACAATTTGGCAATGTGTGTGAATACCGTCTTTCCTTTCCTAACTTTAAGAGGGAGGGGAGGGAGCGAGAGGGGTAACGCTAATGTTAAGACTGGTCCTGGTTGCCTTCTTTTTTTCCGAAGATGATCAAGGCCGTTTAGCTAGGTTGTCAGGTCAGTGATCCATCCATATTATTTCCTCAGTATAGCATTTTTGGAATATCCTCATATAGTAAGGGCCAAAGAGTTGAGTGGGCTTCAACATATTTCTAGATTGAAGAAAAATTTTAAAAAATTCAAAAGTTAGGCAAAATTGTTTTTCCTTTCTTATTACCAAACAACTTCATGAGATTTGAACTCCAGAACTTTGTCATCAAAGACAATCTAATATGCTATTGAGTAAAAAAGAACACAACTATTTGTGTTCTATTTCAAGTACAACAACGGTGAAGCCACATTAAAAATGTTAATTCATTGACATTATATCAATATTTTTTTTATTTTAAAACATAAATTTGTAACTGACACGTGACATTGCAAAAGCACAAAAATAAATTATTTGTGCTTATATTGGCACAAGCTAATTCAACTACTCAATATTCTTTTTCTTATTTTATAAAAAATAGGAAAGTCGAACTTAGAACCTCCTTTATGATTGAGAACAAGAATACCACAACATCAACATCAATAGTTGATTTATCAATTGATTGTATTTATACTGGCACAACTTGATTCTGCATATTCTATATTTTGTAGGTAATCTACCTTCGTTGTCACATTATCCTAAATGCATTTGCTTCCTCAAATTGTGTGATAGAGAAAGGGCAAAGATAATTAAATTTGTACACGCCATTTTTACGCAGGACCATACCAATCTTCTATGTGCATAGTCTAACAAAATCCATGTGGTCCATTTAAGTCCATGTGCCTCATTTACCCTTTTCCAACATCACTCTCTCCCTCTCAGGTTTTCATGGATCAGCAAGAGTCAGAGCCAAAATGGGAAGCCACGGTTTCTGCAAGGCTCACAAAGGCCAGAGTTGACCAGATCTGGCCTCTGCTCAAAGACTTCAACTTCCACCAGTGGTTTCTAACCCTAGCCACTTGCTATGGCGTCCACGGGGCCAACGGTTAGCGAGCCTGGCTGCATCAGATACTGCACCGGCTCCTCAATCCCATCCAAGGGTGATCACAAGGCCGTCAGCTGGTCCAAGGAAAATTAACAGATAAAAAGAAAATTATTAAAAAATTAAAAGGTTTTTCCGCTGCCGGGAGTTGAACCCGGATGATAAACTCAATCCATTTTATTGGGCTACAACGGATTATATGCTACTGATGGGAAATATAATAATATAAATGAACATTATTCGGCATATAATAAAAAGAAAAAGGAAAATTATCAAAATTTAAAAAAGGTTTTCCGCTGCCAGGATTCGAACCCGGTTGATTAACTCAATCCATTTATTGGGCTACAGTAGATTGGAGACTATTAATGTGAATAAAAGTCTATATAAATGAAAACTAATCTGCTATTAATGTGAATAAAATTCTATATAAATGAAAACTATTAGGCAAAAACAAACGATAAGGAAAATTATTGTTGACAAAAAAAAAAAAACGATAAGGAAAATTATTGTTGACAAAAAAAAAAAAACGATAAGGAAAATTATTAAAAATAAAAATAAAAGTTATTCCGCTTTATTGGGTTACAGTTGATTGCTGTTATATATTGGAATAACAATTCTATATATCATGAAACATCGTTGCAATTTATATCTTGCCATTATTAACCCTCTTTGGCAAATACGTGTCGAGTTGAAGCAGTAGTCACGCGGGGCACTCAACTTAATCGAATTATTTATGTATTTAACCAATTATACTTAGAAAATTGGGTAATTTTCACTTTATTATCGTAAAATTTATCAACTTTTAGAGTTTGATATATTTTAAAAAAAATTCATCTCAATTGCATACACAAAGTTGATTCTCTTACCAATTTCATATATGCCATCAGTCTTTCTATTAGCAAGTTTATTAACTGCTGACGTGGTAACAAATGTGTCACGTAGACTCACTTATATGATGTCATGTGATCTATATATATTATTATATATATTATTTAATTAATCAAATAAATTAAAAATAAAACTAAAAATCCCTCTCTTGCTTTCTCTCATCTCTCTTTCTCCTTGTGGCCCACATCGAACCACAAGCCCAACACCATACAACCACCCTCATCCTCACCCGAGATCCACCCTCAGCCCCACTTGAGACCCATCCAAATTCTCTCTCTCTCTCTCTCTCAATTCAAAAATTGGAAGAAAAAAAAAATCAAACATTTTGCATCTGGGGGGTGGGGTTCTAGGTAGGTTTTGGGTTCTGCGAGTTGGGGGATGGGGGGGCAGGCTGGGTTGGGCTCTAGGTTCTGTGAGGGTGGGAGGAGGAGGAGGGGGTCTTGTGGGTGGTCACGGGGAAAGAAAGTTTTTTGGGTATCTTGAGAAGGGTTGGATGGGGTTTTGGATGAGAGAGAGAGAGAGAGAGATATATATATATATATATATATTTTTTTTTTTTTTTTAATTTTTAATTTTATGATTTAAGTTTTTTTAATTAATTAATTAATTTAATAATATATGTAGATCATGTGGTATCATATGAGTGGGTCTATGTGGTGCATTTGTTGCCACGTCAGCGGTTAACAGACTTGGTAACAGAAAGATTGACGACATGTATGAAAGTAGTAAGAAAATCAACTTTGTGTATGCAACTGAGACCAAAAAAATAAAAAATTGATGTATCGAACTCTAAAAGTTGGTAAACTTTACCGTAGTAAAGTCAAAATTACCCTAGAAAATTATATATAGAACTAGAGAAAAAACTCATGTCCATTATTAGAAAAAGAACTATAGGTTAGCCCGGTTAATTAGGATAATGAACTCGCCTACTTAAATTGAAGTTTACATTTATCTAGAGTAGATTATCACTTGTATATAAATTTTTTTTTTAAATAAAAACATATATCATCTTTAAAATAAAACTACAAATTTCTAATGATTAAAAAGGAAAATAAAGCCCTAATTGAACTAACGTGCAACTTAACATCGTTAGTCTTTCTTCTTCTTTTTCAACGTCTATGCATGCAAGCATTTGGTTCCACCAAGCTAGGTTTCAGTATTTGTTTATGGCAACAACCAGGGTGACCTTGAACTAGTACAAAACGAACAAAATGAGACAAATGGTACCAATTAAAAAGCCTGAAACCAAAAACCAATTGTGAAGAAGACAAATGGTGGGCATCTCGGCTGTTGCTATTCTTATGGAAATAGAAACGGTCTTGCTATTCTAAAAAAAAACAAAAAAAGAAGGAAATGAGAGAAGACTACACTGATCATTATTATTATTATTATTATTTAAAAAGGTTTTTTCGCTGCCAGAAGTCAAACCCGGATGACAAACTCAATCCATTTTATTGGGCTACAGCAAATTGGATGTTATTGATGGGGAATAAAAGCTATATAAATGAAACTTAATAGGCATATATCATTAGGCATAAAATTAAGTGATAAAAGAAATTGAAAATAATAAAAAGTTTTTCCCCTGCCAGGAGTCGAACCCGGATGATAAACTCTCAATCCATTTTATTGAGCTACAGCGGATTGGATGTTATTGATGGGGAATAAAAGCTATATAAATGAAACACTAAACTTCGTTGCACAAAGTATTTAGCAGCCAAGTTAGATTTGTCGCACAAAGTATTTAGCGATGTTATTAATGGGGAATACAAGCTATATAAATGAAATTTAGTGCCCGTTTGGCATTGCTTATTTGGGGTAATAAGTGATTTTTAAAAACTTTTGGGAAGTCTAGCCCGTTTGGTAAACTGTGAGAAAATCACTTATTGTTAACAATTGTTGTGAGAGAAAGCTATAAGGGAAAGCAGCTAATGTAGTGCTTTCAATTTATGATTATGCAGGAATCAGTTTTGAAGAGGCGCTGGGTTTAATGATTATGCCACAATCATTTTCTGATTATGAGGAAATTAATACCAACAACACTTTTAACAAAAAGTTTACCAAACGTCAAACTGCTTCTCTCACAGTTGATTTCTCTCACAGCAAATCTGACAGCGATTATTTTCACAGCACAGCAATGCCAAACTGGCCGTAAATAAGCATATGTCATTAGGCATAAAATTAAGTGATAAAAGAAATTGAAAATAATAAAAAAAAATTCCGCTGCCGGGAGTCGAACCCGGATGATAAACTCAATCCATTTTATTGGGCTACAGCGGATTGGATGTTATTGATGGGGAATAAAAGCTATATAAATGAAACTTAATAGTCATACATCATTAGGCATAAAATTAAGTGATAAAAGAAATTGAAAATAATAAAAGGTGTTTCCGCTGCCGGGAGTCGAACCCGGATGATAAACTCAATCCATTTTATTGGGCTACAACGGATTGGATTTTATTGATGGGGAATAAAAGCTATAAATGAAACTTAATAGTCATATATCTTTAGGCATAAAATTAAGTGATAAAAGAAATTGAAAATACAAAAAGATTTTTCCGCTGCCGGGAGTCGAACCCGGATGATAAACTCAATCCATTTTATTGGGCTACAGCAGACTGGATGTTATTGATGGGGAATAAAAGCTATATAAATGAAACTTAATAGTCATATATCTTTAGGCATAAAATTAAGTGATAAAAGAAATTGAAAATACTAAAAAGTTTTTCTGCTGCCGGGAGTCGAACTCGGATGATAAACTCAATCCATTTTATTGGGTTACAGCGGATTGGATGTTATTGATGGGGAATAAAAGCTATATAAATGAAACTTAATAGTCATATATCATTAGGCATAAAATTAAGTGATAAAAGAAATTGAAAATAATAAAAGGTTTTTCCCCTGCCGGGTGTCAAACCCGGATGATAAACTCAATCCATTTTATTGGGCTACAGCGAATTGGATGTTATTGATGGGGAATAAAAGCTAGATATATAAATGAAAGTTAATAGGTATATATCATTAGGCATAAAATTAAGTGATAAAAGAAATTGAAAATAATAAAAGGTTTTTCCGCTGCCGGGAGTCGAACCCGGATGATAAACTCAATCCATTTTATTGGGCTACAGCAGACTGGATGTTATTACTGGGAGTCAAACTCGGATGATAAACTCAATCCATTTTATTGGGCTACAGCGGATTGGATGTTATTGATGGGGAAAAAATAGTATAGCCGTGCGGCTATCCTTTTTTGACACGTGGCACATAAAACACCTTTAGCACCCCCTACAAGTTATATAAAGGTTGTAGTGTTGAACCTTGTAATGCAAGTAAAATTGTCATCCCTATGATTTTTGTAGTTGAGGCAGAGAAACCTTACAAAGTTACACGTCACTTATTCTGCCGCCTAGTTGATCTGATGCAAGTACCAACAGTCAATGTGAGAAGGCAAAACCTCTGCTCCGCTCAAAGGCCCAGCAGTTGAACAAGAGTTTGGCCAACCGGGTTTGACCAGGTACTGGATGCGCCACTCCTCCTACTGATCCTGAAGATGATACGATCATCAACTCCGTCAAGCAAATAAAATATACTGATGATTGATCCAATTACCTGATGTTTGAATATCTACCATCAATGTGACTTCACATTCTAGAAGGAAAAAGCTCAATCTAAGAAATTAAAATTGCCAGCAGATGAGAGTTGACTCAGTTATTTATGTATAGGCTTGTGATACAAGGCATCGCTGGACACTGATAGTCTCTACACTGATAGTCTTTTTCTATCTTTTTCTATTTACGGAAAATAATCTATACAAGTATATACAACCTTACAAGACATGTTTTGCACCGCTCCACAACACGATAAATTGCCAATTAATTTTGGATAGAAATAAATCATCCGGTTTCATTTGAATCTTTCTGGCTTGACGGATGGTTTTACCTGGCTTGTCGTCTAAAGAAAACTAAGGCTATCTTATAATTTGGTTTTAATTAACTAGTTCTACAAGCCATCTAATTAGTCAACATGTGTATGTTTAAGGCTGGTTTTACGTAAAATAATTGCTCAAGTCAAAGAAGAAGAGAGAGAGAGTAAATAATTGGTGACACTTGAGGATCAGAGACTCGATCATACCAAAATTATAATAATTTTCCCACTTGCCATCAATCACTCAATCAAAAAGCATATGAAAATAAATGGCGAGATTGTTTTTGGTAAACCTAATCACCTTGTTCTTTAGTCAAGTCAACTTTCCATTTCATTTTGTGGTTGAATTAGAGAAATCTCGTTATAAATACATGCCTGTTCTCTTGCTTATAATTATCAATTGATGTGATCTTCGTTTCCCTAGCTAAGCTCTCACATGCAAGAACAAACACAGCCAAAATGGGAAGGCAGAACCTCTACTGACCTAAAAGGTCCAGCAGCTGAGCAAGTTTGGCCTCTCTTGGCTGATTTCTGCAACCTACACAAGTGGTTCCCCAAACTTGAGACATCTTACCAAGTTGGGGGAATTCTTGGCCAACCGGGTCTGATCCGGTACTGCGCAACTCCCCCCGCTGATCCTGATGATCAGACGACCATCAAGTGGGTCAAGGAGAAGCTACTGATGATAGATCCAATCAAACGGCGTTTGAGCTATGAGATCCTTGAGAATAACATGGGATTTCACTCATATGTTGGCACCATGCAAGTAGTGCCCATAAACGACATTCATCATGATGTCGTTCTTGGGTGCAAGATCGAGTGGTGGGTTGTTTGTGATCCGGTTGATGGATGGAGGTTGGAAAACCTACTTGATTTTCTTGAGTCTTCTCTCCCGTTGGTAGCAAAAACAATGGAGCATGCTCTTCTTTCTACTAGCTGATCAACGTTAATTGACTCGGCTTAATTAGTCTTTATTTGTTGGTATATTACTTTTATGTGTATTATTATTGACTTGTAGTATGTCTATGAATTTATTAATAAAAAAGCATGTGCACTGATCAATAAATTATAGTATTAGTAAATTTGGGTTAGACCAGTTCATCATGTTAGTGTGTTCGCTCCCTTCTACTCAAGGTCGTTCCTCTCTTCGTAAATTAGAATATAGCTTAGAATATATTGCTTTGTCGAAAACCTATGTGCACATAAAACATGAGGTTATTTTGGTAATCCTATATCAATTTGTTCTTTAGACAATCGATTTTCATTTGGCCCAACGGATATATATGATGAAGAATAATCTTCTGGGATTGAATGAGAAAAACCTTATAAAGAAGTAGGACCATTAATTCATGTTCTTCATAATGAATTGATCTTTTCTTATTTTGTTTCTTTTTCATGGAGTAATTGGATAAAAAAAACAATCAAAATGGGAAGGCAAAGCCTCTGTTAAGCTCAAAGGCCTAACAGCAGAACAAGTCTGGCCTCCCTTAGCTGATTTCTGCAACTTCCACAAGTGGCACACAAACCTTGACACGTGTTACCAAGTGGAATGCATCCTTGGGCAGCCGGGGATGATCCGGTACTGCGCCGGTCGTCCTACTGATCCTGCTGATGAGACCAGCTTCAGGTAGGCCAAATCAAAGAGAAGCTACTCGTGTGATTGATCCAATCCAACGGTATTTGAGCTATGAGATGGTGGAGAACAACATGGGGTTCAAGTCGTATATGTTGCAACAATGCAAGTAGTAGTGCCCATAAACGACATCAGTGGGTGCAGGATTGAGTGGTCGTTTGTTTGTGATCCGGCTGAGGGATGGAGACTCGAAGATTTTCTTTCGTATTTTCAATCTATCACCTAGAACAATCCAACGCACCGATACTTAACCGATTAAAAACATGGGACACAATCATGAGATTCCCAATTAATATTGATGAGGTTGTTTTGGTAAATCTCTTATGACTTGTTCTTTAGTCTAACGTAACCCAACTTCCATTCCACTCCACTCAACGCATATCGCATATGGGAATCAAAACATTTTAAATAAAATAAAAAAAGAATCTTTGACTTTTGTGGTTGTAAATTGTGATGAGCTAGCACTCAAACTTTCTCATTTTATCGCTCTCCATTCTTTCCATTTGTTTTATTTCTCATGGCAGAAGATCAAATTCCAGAGTCCAAATGGGAAGGCAAAACCTCTGCTGATC